TTTACTTTCCTGATTTCTGTTGCACTGGTGTCACCATCAACACTAAACCTGCGTGATGGTCTCACCAGAGTCTACGCAGCTTGCCAGCGAAGTGTTAGACTCAGCTTTTTTTGCCAGTGGCAAGGGAGCCAAACACCAATTGTTAGCAGATTAACCCGCTAATTTAAGTGGTAAAGGCTTTGGTAGAGGCTTTATTGGTCTGACTTTGCTAAATTGCATGGGCAAAAAAATAAAAAATGCTTCAGCTACTAGTGGCTGTGTTGCGGGGGGTGGCAAAGAATAAGAAGCAATGGATTACTGTAAATCTGTTACTCGCAGTTTTAGTGTTGCTGTAAAAACGATGAAGTTCTCCTCTGCCAGGAAGAAAATTGTTCCCCAAATAGGGCTTTACTCCTATAGCTAAAACTCACACTTGATCTGGACCATTACCACATTATGATGAATTGCTCCTTAGCATGAGGCACACCTCTGGTTATAAATGTCCATAAAATCCACTCATAAGCTGTCAGTTGTCCTACTAACAGACCGACAATGATTCCTTATCTTGTGGTTTTGTCTTCTGTAAAATATCTCTGGACTTTTTAAGTCCAATGCTGAGGCTGTCGATAGTCACTGCTGCCACCCTCTAGTTTAGTGGGGAACTGCTTGTTCCACTAAATACCCTTATCTCACAATTTCAGGGAATCTTTTAAAAAAAAATCCTATGTCTAGATTATGATGCTGATCATCCCAAAAACATTAGTGGATTGTTTCTTGGCATTGGGCAAATATCTGATAAAAATTTAAATGAAGTACATCTATAACTTTTATAGTCATCCTGTACACAGACAGACAAACAAACGCACAAAGTCTCCTAAAAACCTATTCTACTTGGAAGTGGTAATAATAATAATTATTATTATTATAGAACAGAAGGATAAAATGACATGATAAACATTTTACAGGGCATTTTGAATGCACTTATATCAAAGCGGTACAGAGAGAGGTAAAACAATTAAAAGGTTCAAAATTAAAATTTATTTTAAAAGATTAAAACCCAATCTTAACAAGAAAACATCTCATTTGGGCCACGAGTTAGACTGAGATTCTGGTTTGTATGTCTGAAATGATTCAGTTTGATTTCTGCATGATGTTACAAAACAAAGCAGATTATCTGAGGTGGCGCCTCAGATAATCTGCTTGTCCAGGTAACCTCGATCCTCCCATTGTATGACATTTTTTCACCTGTCACTCTCTCAGGTGACGCTTATCCCCACCCATGACACAGAGGTGACCCGTGACTGGTACCAGCAGACTCACGAGAGGCAACAGGATCTCAACATCATGGTCCTGGCTTCCAGCAGCACCGTCGTAATGCAGGACGAGTCTTTTCCAGCCTGCAAGATTGAGTTTTAAGATCTCCTTCACCTCTCCTCTGCCCATCCTTCTAGCCTCCTTGCTGTAGATCTTTTCTGATTAATCTTTTCTGTATCCTGATATGCAACCTGATGTGTCTCTGCTCTACCCAGATTGTTTGGTAAAGCAGGGACAGATTTGGGGAACTTTTTTTCAGTGTTTTTGTTTTTTTAAAGCTTAGTGTGGCTATTGCCACACTAATCCTATAGGTACTTTGCAGCTAGTTAATAATCATTGCTGTGTTTACTGTGCTGTAGCCCTGAACCTTTTCACATTTAGTCATGTTACAACCACAAACTTCCTGTGTTTTTTCCCCCCCAATCTTCTCTGTAAAATAGCTCAAACTCACTTAGAAAGAATAGAAAGTGTCTTTGAATATCAGTTTAAAGGTGTGGCCAGTAGATTTAGGTATGAACTTTAACTAGGCCATTGTATCACATGACTATAGTTTGAGCTAAATCATTCGAATTGTGGCTCCAGTTGTGTGTTTATTGTTGTCCTGCCTAAAGTTGAACCTTTACTTGTTTTTAAATCCATCAATCTATTTAATAACTCTGACCAGCCTCACTCTACTGAAGAGAAACACCCCACAGCATTATGCTGCCACCACCATTAGGTGATTTTTGAAGATGGGTGCACTGGATTTAATTTAGGGGTATTTGAGCATAGAAGACTAAATATTGATGCAATACCCACTTTCTGATTTAATTTATTTAAAAAAATGAAAAGGCAGTATATATATAATTTAGCTTAAACTAAACAACTACACACAATGTGTTTTCCTATTCCAATAAATTAATTCCAAATAAAATATGTTAAAGTCCTGCAATGGACTGGTGAACTGTCCAGGGTGTACCCCGCCTCTCGCCCGTAGACAGCTGGAGATAGGCACCAGCACCCCTCGCACCCCAATTGGGACAAGCGTGTCAGATAATGGATGGATGGATATGTTGAAGTTTGTGGTTGGCATGTGACAAAGGTGGAAAACTTTGAGGGATATGGTTACTTTTACCATTGTGTCAATTATCAGTCATAATTGTTTTTTTTTACTCTCTGGGTGATCTCAGTAACACAATTCTAAATTATTGACATCAGCAGTTCTCAAACCTTTCAGCTTCCCGTCAACAAGGCAGCTGTGACATAACCTTACATTTTCTGGCTGAATAAAACAAAAATTAATTTTGGGGCAATAATATATAACCAACAAAAAAATCCATCCTCCAATTTCCATCACCTAAAGTAAGATAAAGACCCAATTTTTGGGGAAAAAACTGCCTTTAGATTAAAAAAAGGAACCAGTGAATCTTATTCATCAAGCTTAAAAATAAAATATGTCCTTATTTTGCCGTTTGCTCTGTTAAAACCGTGATATTGTTTAGTTTTTGGCCTCCTGGTATCATATAAAAGCATAGAAAAGTAGATCCCAGCCTTCCTTTTAGAGTATATTTGTTGTAGAAATGGGAACGTTAATAAACCTGTATTGTACTGATTTCTGATATTTCTACTGTTCTCTGAAACAAGTGAGACCTTCCTTGCTGTTGGCTGTTTTTTCTTACAGTGGAGCACCCTATACCCATCTCTGTGGTCTTTGATGTACTTTTCCAGTTAGTAGATTATTGCAGAAATCATGCAGAGAGATGAAAGCAGTGAAAACCCCCTTTTTTAAAATCATAATATTCTGAAATAACACATTAGAAGAACCTCATTCAGTGAGAATGCTGTTGCAGAATGAAGAATGTACTCCGCTACAACAAGGACATGTGGCCGCGAGCTTTGATTGTGTTAAAGAAGACGATGGCTGTTTTGGCTGATGTGAGATTTTCACCCCACATGTGCCTTTCTGTCCTGCTGTTCTGGAAGGGAAAAACTACATTAACCATTGGTTTGTAGAGGCTCATCAAGCCCTACTCTGCTGCTTCTCATCTGTTGTTGAGAATGGGTCAGAGATGTATGAAACGAGTGTAATACGGCTCTTTTAAAGCGCCAATTATAGAAGCACAAGGCTTACCAGTGAGCAAAGCTGAAATCAGTTACGGACTTTTCAGATTTAGCAACCTAAGTTTGACCTGAAAACATGCACCAATCCTCTTTACAAGTCATATTTACTTAATCAATTCTTCTTTCTATAAATCAGAGGAATCCTACGATCAACCTACAATCTAACAAATCAAAGGACCAACAAATCTATTGTTTTTGCAGCTGTTGCTGTTTCAACTGCAGCCATTTCAGCTCATATACAGATGCATGTTCAAAAGCTGCATGCAGAGAAAGAGGGCACTCTTTAAAAATGCAGCTTGCTTGGGGTGCAAAAACCTGATTGGCATGAATGTAAAGATGCAGATCATACCTTTACATCCTCCGCTGAGGATTTGGATCTCCTGGTTGCCTTGGGTACCATGCATCACATGACACGCTGATTGCATTGGAACACGTCATTTCCATCCGTAGGCCTACACTGCACTGAAATTGGTATTAAGATTTATAATTCTGCTCAGATAAACAGGGTCAGTGTTAGCTGTACCGCCTGGTCAGTCAGTCTACGTTCCTTAGATATTGTAGAAAACAAAAAACTCACTTAAAGCACAAACTGCCAGACATGAGGTGCTTTCTATACTCATGATGACACATTTCTATCTGTTATTCATATCTATCGGCAACCATACAGTACACACACTCAGCTGACTGTTGCGTTTAAAAACCTGAAATAACAGCTTTTTTTGGATCGACCCCAGCTTGTTCGTGCATGCGTACTTTTTGAGTTCACCTGTATTGACATGAAACTGACTCGTTATTGAAATGCTACGTCAAACGATGTGGTTTTGAGAAGCTAAAACTGTTGAGTTTGGAGGACGCACATGTAACCTGGCTTTGCTGTGTGACAAAGAAAGCCATTTTTCTCACTCCTTCCTGCTTCATAGTTCTTCTGTCATCTCTTAATTTAAGTGCAATATTCTCTTTATCTCTATCTAAATGCTTATAAAGGTGAAATATAAGTAAGATTTATTGTTGGAAGGGAAAAGGTGTGTTCAAGACCAATAAAAAAGTCATTTACTGAAAAAATGTCTCCCCCTTCTTTCCGTTTTGTATGACTGCAACTTTATTTTTTCTTTTCCTTTCACCAACAAGGTTGCAAAACCTAAGACTAATGGTTTAATCAGAGAGAGATATTTAGGCATTTTTTATTAACCGATCATTATTATTTGCTATGAATCTTTCATTCAAATCCATAAAAGGTACTTTATGACCTTGTATACTGTATTACATAATAAATGTTTAAAGGTATTTATTTTACTTATTTGTCTTTTTACTTTGCAAAAAGAAATAGCCTTTCTCAGCCTTTGTGTAATGTGCTAACAACACTAACTATGCAACAAACTTTCTGTTTAATAAAGAAACGGCCAAATAAAAGATTATGCAATAGTTATTATAAACATATCTGTACACAATGGAAGAATAGTGCATTGTGGGGAAATCTTTTCAGCAGAGCTAACAATGCTACAAACCTCATTATCACCAAAGACAAATACTGGATAAAATAATCGCATACATGTGAAACAAAAGCTGAATAAAGAATACTTTTCTAAATGTATACACTACAGAAGTTACAGAAACTATATATACTGAAAAAGAAAAATGTTTAAGTAATGCAGCAGATAACAATCACACTTAAATCAGAGCAAAGGTTTCCAATCACTGCCGGTTGAATCATCAAGCACCAGTGTTTCAGTTTAATGAGTAAAATCCTCACAGGGAGGGTTAAATATTGCAACTTAAAGTTGTTTAATGAGCTGATGAATCTTTTTAAAATCATATTGGAAAAAATTAGGTAACTTTGACTGTTAATACCATATCTGACAGTGCTTTTTCTGAAACTATTACTTCATTTTTCCCACATCAGATAGTTTTTAAATCCACCAATATCAGATTCTAATTACCTTGTGTCTCACTTTTTTAATTAGTACAGGATCATATTTGCTAGATTCATGAGAGGAGTGGATAGGAATAGTTTAAAACTGTAATAAATACTATAACATAAAATCCATAAAATAACAGCACAATTGCAATTGAAGACAAGTCTGATGGTTTATTTGAGTAAATTGACCAAAAAGCTTACTCACAATCATACTGGTGCCTTTTTTATCTGTACACAGTCAAGTAAGGTCACAGACTCAGTTTGCATTTCTTTTCTACAGGTTATCAAAATGTACCTTGATAGCACAGTGTGGGATGCACTTGAATAGCTTCTGAAGCATAGGTGCTTTCTCATGCAGATATGTGCTACAAAACTGCTCCGCAAAATAAAAAGCACATTGAATGTAAAATGCCCTCCTTTGTGTTCTGTGATGAAATTAGACTTAAATGTGTTTTTAGCAAAAAAATACACATCCTCAAAGCAGCATACAGCATGAAACTATGAATAGACAATATAGTTAAATATCTAATATGCAGGTTTTTAAAAATACAGATTTTACTTTTTAAAATCCTCTTCTAAAATAAATCTTTCTGCGTAAATTAAATCTTCACTGAAGGATTAAGGACTTTGGCGATCATCAGCACACACACGTCTGACCTTAAGACTGAACATTGACACTGATGAGGATTTGACTACTAATGTATGGGCTTTTTATTTTAAGATAAACATTCTCAGAAACTCTGCAACCAATAGCAGCTGAACCACCATCCACATAAAAAAAACTCAGTCAGAAACAAGCAGAGCTGCCCTGAAACCAGAGAAACATAATGAATGTTACAGACAACGTAACAGCTGGCGCTCTTAAGGGTTAAACATCATCGCTGCGGCTCTAGAAGACAAGACAGCACAGGAATATGCTCAGCTCATAACATACAAGGTAAAGCTGCTTCAATCTGCATCTCTACAGCACAGAAGAAAGATCAAACATGTTAAAAACAAATGAAAATATGACAAATCTTACATTCTCCCAGTTCTCTGCGGTTTTTAAAATCACTTTTAGTTTTTCAAGATTTTTCCATCACCTTTACTACTTCCCTCCTCAGTTAAGTTTTTTTTTTCACCCTACAGACACCAAAATGATCAGAGGGCTTTGAAAGAAAAAAAAAAAAAATCTGTAACAGATGGGTTGAAACGAAAGTCAGATACTGACTTAGGATCAGTCAGTTGAGGCTCTACGGTGTAACAAATTAATCTAAACTGTCCCGTTTCAGCTCTGCTGCAGAGGAGATGACGGAAGCAGCTGTTCAGGGCTCTGCTGGCTGAACAGCTTCTGTGTCCTGAGGTGCCTCTGGGTGGGGGACGTGTTCTGGACTGTCTGTCCACAGCTCCATGGACTCCTGTGTGTCAAAGAACTCGTCTGGCCCCTCCGGGGATTGAGGCGTCTGGGAGCTGGACCCAGCCTCACTGCTGCTCTCCCTGAGCTCCAGGAGCACCGGCAAAGACCCAGGGAGGCAGTAACCCTCCATCCGACCCAGATTGAGCTCTGCTAAAGCCATGCAGGGAGATCTCTGGGCTGGATCTGAGATCAGACCACTAGATGGGTCTAAAGGGATGGAAGAAACCTCCTGGCTGTCCACAGGGAGTCCAGGATTGTCAGGCTGCTTTTCAGAACCACCACCGGCTTCAGCGTCTTCCTCTGGGGAATTGTTTGGAGTCAGGGGGACTTCGGTGGGGGTTAAACCAGTGGATGATGTGTCGATTGTAGCTGGTGGCAGGGTGGAAACATTCTGAGAGGAATGGGTTTCCTCACTGCTCTGGGGGGTGAGGGACACCTTTTCGCTAAAGCTGAACCGTGGTGAAGTATCAGCTGTGGTGGGGGAGGATGGTCCAGCGCTGGAAACCGTGCTGGATGGACCGCTGCTGTCTGTGGGGACAGAAAATAAATGAAGAAAGAAAAGCAGTTTAAACGCCTCTAGTTCTGGTTGAATCATAAACAAAACTTTGACATTTTCTAATTCTCCTTTTAGAGATACTTTAACTTCTGTGAAATGTAGATATATGCACAGTAGAGGTTGGCCAGAATAAGATATCCTATTCTATATGTTTTTATCATTGCTATCAGGCAGGTGAATATCCACTATCAGGGAGAAATAAAGTAACTATCTATGATGCTTTATTTCCCCACAGAGATTTATTTGTTAGGTTATAGCCTTATTCCAAATTGAGGAATTTTTAGGAAAGAAGAGAATTTTATAAACTTTCGAAAAAGGCTGCAAGAAGAAAATGTGGAAAAATGTGAATCACAGTTCAAACTTCTGGATCCGCTGTAAGAGTTTAGTCATATATGGAAAGTGAAATTGACATCACCATATGAAGCACTTTTATGGCACATGGCAGGTTTTCCTGGGTCAAAGATTTAACAGGAAAAGAAACAGGCTACAACCATCTAAGCAATGAGTTTCTATGAAAGAAAAATCTAAATTAGATCGCAGCTTAATACAATGATGTTAAAAGAATAACACCTTGAGGAAGGACCCTGCAATACTCACACCAAGGAGGTCTGTCAGAGCGAGATCGGAGGGACATGGAGGAAGAGAGGACCCTCTGAGGGATGTAAGAGTCCACTGATGGCTGATTGTGTGCACCCAACATGGCTGACAGAGCTGCAGAGAGACAGAAGGACGGGAAATGTAACTTTACAAAGAAACCTTTACTCTCTGAGCAAACAAACATGAGGTTTCTTACCTCTGGAGGTTCTGGTGTGTGGATCCCCGGCGCTCTCGCAAACGCTGGTGAGGAACTCGTTAACCTGTTTGAGAGACAGCGAGTTGTGCAGCGTTTCCAGAGGATAGATGGAGGGCACCATAGAGCAGCCTTCAAAACCTGTGGCAGAGGAGACACATGAAGCCCGCAGGCACATCAGCGGAAATCCTACCTTCAGGCAAAAAGGTGACACCCATCACCAACAAGTCCAACAGTCCCGCCCTCCCACCCCTTCCAAACGGTGCTTTGAAAATCTGCTGCTGTTTCAGGACGCACTCTAACCCTCTGCGATCTCCTGCCATCCTGTTCTGTTTATTTGCACACAGGCAAGTTGCAAAAACCATGCTGAACGCCCAGAAAGATGGACACCACAACAAAGATGTCTCAATCTATTTGCAAAAGCAAGCAGATCTCCCAAAAATAAAAGAAAGAAAAATAAAAAAAACAAACATCTGCTTTTTCAATCAATCCCTTAACTCTGATACTGCAGCCGGAAAAGCAGCCCCGAGCAGTCAAAGCTCCTCCAACAACACGCTCTCCAAGCCGGTTAGTTCACAACCAAGCTGCATTTAACCAGAGCCGTTCCTCAAACCACAGCCTGAACAACCTGAAGGGAATTGTGCTTTTAACTGTGCAAGTGTTCGCCACAAAGACAGCAAACAAGCAGGAGACACATGCTGGTTAGGGTCAGGAAAGAAGAGCGACTGGCATTCAGAGCAGCTGTGGTCATGTTGGGTAAAACTCTACTGAGCATGTTCCTTTCTGAATCTGGAAAGAGCAACAGTATGAAAACAGGAGGGGCTCAGACAAACTGTCGAGCAGCAGCATGTTCGGTCGTTCAAGCACGTAAACATCCATATATTACCACCCACTGCAGTAGGATACAATGTAGTTTGTGCTTCTGGACAAGATGATCTCTGCACTTCATCTTGTCTTTTTGATACATATAAATCTAAAGCTAATTTAATATTATGAGGAAGATAAACTCAGTATATAAAGGCTCATATGAAAAAAATGTATACTCAAAATAAAATTACAGCTAAAATTAGAAACAGACCGGTTTTAGATCAAATCTGATCTGATCCAAGGTTGAATGCAATGATTAGGACACTAGCAGATACAAAGTTCCTAATCCTTGTCTCAACCTGAAGGTTGCTCATTTTGTTGGTAGCTACTATAAGATTGCCCAATACTGCTAGTTTGCATATCTTTAGACTTCTGGATAAAAAAGTAACTTCTAAAAAAAATCACTTCTTTGCATAAAAGGTCAGACAACTAAATAAACAATGTGTGTAATGTAGATGAGGATAAACGTGTTAGCTGCGATTCAACTAGTTTTTCCATAAGAACAAACGGGTTCTAGTGAAGATCCAACATTTTTTCGTGAAGTTAAATCCAAACAAACCATGAGGAACATCTGAATTTATCCTGCTTTATGACTTTGGAGAAGTTTCTTCTAAAGGTTTATAAAAGTATTCATCCCCGTCTAAACTTTTGGTATATGGCCACGTTGGAACAGAGGAACTAATACTTCAGTAATATCAAACGACCATCAGAAAGAAATTACTTTGAATAAACAGAGCTCTGCGAGACTTTCAAAGAATTTGGTTTGTGTTCATTTAGAACGGTGCTAAATGAAGGTTAGCAGTGTTCATTTTAAACATGAACGCTGCTAACTGTTACCCCGAAATCCCATATCCTCTGTCAGCGCCCCCGCTCCGTTCTAGACCGTCTGTGCAAAGCCTACAGCCTCCGCTGTTCCTCCCGTCTTTCTCCACTCAAACTTCCTCGGAGCTCGGGGAGAGCATGCGCGATAATATTATTCTATTGTAATCTATTGTTACTATATTTTGATTTGACAAGCCGGATATTCTCGCTGTTCTTTTTCTTGTTTGGTGCGGTTGTTATTGCGGATCTTGACCTGGCCGGAGTAGAGCAAAAAATAGCTGGGCTCCGTATTTTGACATAGACAGACGGAGAAGACGTACGTGGAAGTATGTGCAGAGCAGTAGCGGTGAATGTGGAACAGTTCCCATTGATTAACATGACAGACAATTACTCTGTACGAAGTACATGAGCAGGGCAGAACGGAGCACTGACGGAGTATGTGGAATATGGGGGTTAAGCTGATTTATGGAGGCAGATGGTTCACTAGAGTTTTTTTTCATGGGCAGTAAAATATACACTAAACCTCTAAAGTCTGTTAAAAAAGCAAGGAAAACCATATTCCACTATTATCTGTATTAATTCCATCTTCCTTAACTTTTATGTTCCTGTTTTCTGATTTTAAGACGTGGAAATAATCAACAGGGCGTGGAAGGCTCTGTATTTTTAAATGCCTCTTTTACCACAGTTACATGGATTAACAAAGCACCAGATATTCTGAAACCAGTCCGCTACTGGAACAGAAATCAGTGAAGGAACGGTTAAAGTCAGGCAAAATTTCAGAAGGCCTTAAAAAGTATCAGTCAGGTTCACCCAGAAAAAAAAAAACGTATAAAAAGATATGAATTAAAGGAGTGATACAGAGATAAATTATATATTCTGCAATTAGAATATCTTATTTTCAAAAGTCTTGTTTGGGCCGAAAATTTTAATTTTTTTATTTTTTAAACTTTCAGTTGGAAAATGTTTATAAATGAACTGAGTTTAATGTTGTAACGTTTTCCTGTCATGTTAAATAATTTATATTTCAAAATTTTTGACACCACTGTAACATAATCTGTAATTTTATAGGAAAAGGAAGAAAGAAAATGTCTAATCCAGAGGATGGGAAAACTTGTGTGGCAGAGTTGAGGGACGACTTCCTTGAATTTGATCAGAAGTCCCAAACAGCTCACACCACTACAGCTTGCAGTCTGCATAACCACAGAAACAGGCAGGCATGCAGAAACATCAGGAGGCAAAGCATGAGAGTCAACCACAGAGCAGGCACAGTCCCAACTAAACCGCGAGCAGTGGTTAATCTGAGCATGAGGCTGGGGTATGGAGGGCGGGGCCAGGGGCTGACCGTGGAGGCACTCTAGGGGGTCCTGGCCGGAGACGAGCCAGTTTCGGAAGAGGCGGAGGTGGTAGGAGCACTGGTGGAGGTGGTGGGCCAGCGTGTGGTCCAGAGGGAGCAGGCGGCGGCCTGAGCTGAGGTCGGTGGATAAAAACCTCAACAACTGGGCCACATGGTGTTCCTCCAAGGGCTCTGAGGAAGAAGAGGGAGAGCGAGTGGACAGGGCAGTGGACCAGTGGGGGTGGGGAGGAGTACAGAAGACAAGATACAAAAGGTTTGATGCTCAGGGAGAGAGAGAGAAGAGGTCTGGAGTACAACACAGATGAGAAGGGGAACAAGAGCTTTGAGAGGAAAGCAGGTTTAGACAGACAGGAGGAAGGAGACGTATAGTGCACCATGTGTGTGAGGGGTGTGCTATCATTAAAGGCAGAAGCTGTCAACAGCCAACGATCAGAGAAAGCAGCAAATCATCCAAGAGTTTCCAGCATTAAGTAAAGCTGATAGCAAGGCACAGAAAACAAGACCAACACATCGCTCCTCTGCAGCCTCTGAACAAAAAGGCACAACTAAGAATAAGAGCGACCCAATGAGAAGCAAAAACCACGAGGGAGCGAGAGACAAGGCACCTGCAGCCGCCTAATCAGTGAAGCCCAAACTTCCCAGGGTTATTACAAACGTGCAGATTGATTGTTTCTAAACTGCCTGATGCCACCTTGTTAATAAAATACGGCTACTGAGAATGTTAATACCAGCACAAACCAGCAAACCCAATCATGGGTGTACCTGACGAAGTGAACAAGCGAGACGAAGACGATGCAATGGTGGACGAGTCATCCTGTGTCCCTGCGGTGAATGATACGTCAGTAATAACAGGATAACAACCTGGAAATTTTCTGGGTTACCTGCACAGGCCGCTTAATAACCCTGCTCATGCTTATAAAACCTCTTCCCTTTATACAAAATAATCCCCAGGTACTTAAATAAAGGCCCTCCCCATCCCATCACCCAGGAAACAACCACATTAGACATGAGTAACTGAAAATATTTATGCTGTTTTGTCCTAGAAATATGGTGTTTCACAGCAACATGTGTAACAAAATGAGAAGCATAAAGAGAGCAGAAAACTGATCATGGTTTGACAGGACAAGGAATTAAATTTAACCCTTCTCCTGGATGAAAACTACTGATTCCGACTAAAGGAACCAAGCTCCTATCCAAATAGGACCAGAGGTTTAAGACAACTGATGACGTTAAGCTGAGCTCACAAGACCAGAGGAGAAGGGTTAAATCCTCTGAAATGCCTGAAGCCATGACAACAAGTGGGATTTCAATCCAAGTACTTTGTGCAGACACACACAAACACATTACGCAACAATGAATAATCAGGTAATGGTAGAAGATGTGATGTATGTAGGATGTTACACAGGGTTCCCGTGCATTAGTCTAAGATGTTTGGTTGAGGCAAATCAAGAAACCAGTGACATTTTTTAAATGTTAAGATGTGTAATAAAGCTTTCGCTCTTAGTTACACATTGGTTTTAAACAAACGAACAAAAAAAAACTACTACTGAATTTACTGGTCAAAGTGAAGCCAACTGAGACCAGGGAAACTTCTTCCATGAGGATCAGTGTGTCAAAGGTTTAGGTCAGGGGTTTCAAACACCAATCTTGCAACTTTTCAATGCATTTCTATTTCCACACACCTGAATGAAATGGCCGACTTGTTACTAGGTCTCTGCAAAGTTTGGTGACGCACTGAAGAGGTCATCCTGTCATTTAATTTAGGTGTGGCTTAGTAGGGATTCATTGAAATGTTGTGGGGCAATGGCTTCTGAGGACTGGCCTTTGGAGACCCCTGGTTAGAATGAACAATGCTGCACTGCGGGCTGAGGGCATCAGGTTGGACAGACATTTTCAGGTTTTGTTTTTCTTCTGATTGGTGACGTATTTACGCCCTAGGGCGGAAGAATCTTTAGCCGTAGACTCTTGTTAAAACTTGTACATGTGCAGTGGCTCCTCTGCAATGCAAAAGGACAGGACAGCTCGGGGAGCAGGATAACTGTGCCCTGAGCTAGCAGATACTGTCATCAAAGTCGTAGTGAGGCTGATTAATAGATCGAGTTGCGGAAGTGAAATCCTTTAAAGCAAACCTGGAGGTGAAACCGTTTGGATGTGACCAGCCGTACATCAAAATTAATCAGCAGTCCCAAGACAGATGGAGACGGTACAATCTGGCTTTTTCCAAGACCCAGTTTAGCTACAAGGTTTGACTAACTAAATGCAGTGAGGCTAACGCTTTATTCTGCTTTCCCAGCCTCATTTTTCAAGAAAAGGAAAAGAACAATGGACAATCTGGGATTCACATGGAATAGAATATAATATATATAGTGTACCTAAGAAATAGTTTTTATATATTAAAAAAGTAAAGCTCAGTCAATGGCTGAACTGAATGTTTGCTATATAGCAATTTTTCTATAAAAAAATGCCCAATAAGTGTATGTTTGTTGAAAAGGTCTAATTGAATCAATCATTTACTGATTAGTACATTTTTCAAGAGATTAGCTAGCCGAGATGAATATCAGTCCTTTACATGAAGAATGAAGCTAACAAAGAAGTCAACATATTAAACAGTTTTACCGTTAAACAAATGATGGAATTCCTCAACGATTAAGATCACAATAATACATGAGACTGCAAACAGTTGGTTTTCTTATAAAAGTCTTTTCATACACTATGACATTACGATTTTTTTTAAACCAGTAGTTCATCCTGGTTGCATACAAAGGTCTTCAGATGAATTGTTACCTGGTAGATAATTTTATTTCATTTATGTGCCTTAGACTTTGTTTTTTCTCAATCTGTTAGTGAGCAAATACCTTTTGTATTAACTATAAACAGCATAGAGAGACAGATATCGCAATATCACGTGTGGTGCAATAAAGAAACAAGGAGCATTAGACATATACTATGTCTAAGAAAATGGAGGCAAACAAGTCAGTGATCCCTACCAGTCAGTGATCCCTACCAGAACTTTGAAAAGAGGTAAAGTCCAAGATCAGGTGTTTGATGCAAGGAGATGTAAGACCTGCCAATTAGGCAGGTCTTACATGGCCTTACTAAAACTGATCATAATTACTGTAATGTGACGCTTAAGCTCTTAGTTATAGCTCTTAGTTATAAAAGAGTTTATATAGTATGTAATGGCTACGATATTCATTATTGTTTATGCTTTCAACAATGTATATGTCTACTGATTGCTCCTGATGGGAAAAAAATATATATATCTTCAAGGTCAAAAAGGACTAAGCTAACACTATCATGATGAACACTGCTGTATATTGTTTTACAGATGTGCTTGAAAGTTTACCTACCCATCCATTAAAAAAAAAATATATATATAAATTCATACTATCAATTAAAATAACACAAAACTGAAAAAAAGTAATAATAAAAAATACTAACTTATCACATTAACATTAAGTGAAATTAAATATTTTATTAAACTGTCCAAAGACAAGTTTAAGTACCTTGTTCATGAACAGTGAACTATGAAATCTGTCATTTTTCTGTAATAATCACAAAATGTTCAGTCAGACATCTGTGATTGCCAGAAAGTGTTGTTCAGGAGCCCCATCAGGCATTCATTCATACATACACACTCAAAACCAATGTCATGATTTCCATTTTTTTAATCATTTTGACTTATTATTGCTATTGTCAATTTCAAATTATTTAAGTGGCAGATTATTTTTTTCTGTCTTTATTGGAAATGTATGCAAACCATCAAGCACAACTGTATGTTTTGGGTGTTTTTCTTTAAGTCATAGTACATGACAAAGGGGTCTTTCTGCAACCTGTGAGACACGATTTGTCTTAAATGTAAAATGACCAACACAATTTTAGAATTGTGATTTTTTCTTAAATGCACATAATTATCCAAAACTACAATTTAATAGTAAAAAAAATCCCTCTAGAAAGCATTTCCTTTATGTATTCAGCAAAAAATAAACTAATAGTCTTAAAGAGGCATGATGGAGTTTTCTAATAAAACCACCACCTGTGGCCAAAACACAGAACTGCAGTACTTATCTGCACGTTCTGGTGGCTGGCACTGCTTTTGTTGTTTTTACTTTTTTTTGTGTTCAAACCTTACAAATGGTTGGCTCTGGTATCTGAGCTGAGCTGGATGCCAGGCAGTTCTAAATATCCAAAAAATCCATTCTGAATATAACATTTTGAGTGTTTCCAATGTTTGACCGCTTCAACATTGAGGCACTTGACTTCTTTTTTTCCCCCAGCTTTTATTGTCTTTACACGGTTTCAAATACAGAGCAACGAAATGAACTCTCTGCATTTAATCCATTCCATTTGGGGAGCAGGGGACCACCATTGTGCTGCGCCCGGGAGCAGTGTGGGTTTAAAGGTCTTTGCTCAGGGATCCAGAGTGGCAGTCCGTGGGAATGGGGCTTAAACTCAAAACCTCAGGATTCCAAGCTCTATGCCCTAAACACTAGGCTACCACTCCCCACCATATCCGCTGTTCAGCATGGGAACTTCTGACCCAAAATAAATTCAAGAAATTAGGCTACAGGCGTATAGATGCATTGGCACTAAACTTCTGAGGCATCTGTCTGGCCGTCAAACATTGTTTTAGTTGTAAAGGGTCAAATAAAAAATATATTTTAAAGATATTTTTCAGTAAAAACTCAAAATTGTCTCTAACTTTTGGCCACTAGGGGCGCTAGACCTGTAACTGCCTGCAGTTTGTTTTGACTGAACATCCAAAAATAATAAAGATATATGACTGTATAATCAGAGAAAAGTGTTAACTTGTCAGGCTAATAAAGTTGCAAAAAGAAAATGGCTTCTACATCCGGCTTCTTCTTTCAGTCTGCGCCAACGGAAAAACTCCTTTCCAAGATCGACTCTTGTTTATCCTCAATCACGAACCTTTCATCGAAACCAATCGCAATCATGGACCCAGGCATGCCTTCACAAAGAGCCACCATCTCAAAACAGAACACAGAGCACGTGAAGGTGTCGCAGCCATAGAGGCGGAGGGAATTGTCCCGAAGAAGGGTTTTATTAGCTCGCCAGTTTGGCAATATATTGGTTACAGCAAGTCAGAGAAACCGAACCACAGGGATTTATAAAAATTTGCAGGGAGCTGGTAAAAACAAAGTCTGGTAACACAACCAACTTGTTTGATCATCTCAGCCGCACACACCCAATGGAGAACGACCTTTGTCGCCCCCGGCGCGGTTCCACATTGTCGGAGAAATCTTTAGGAACTTCTGCCAAAACAAAGCAGGCAAAGCAAGCTAAACTGGGCTTCTTAAAGTGTCCAAGTGGCATGAGGACATCACTCCTGCAGTAACATGCTTCACAGCGATGGATATGCTGCCGTTGTCTGCAGTTGCAAAACCTGTCTTCAAACAGCTGCTCACCACTCTTGATCCGCAATACGAAGTTCTGGGCCGCAATTTTTTCTCCAACTCAGCGCTCCCTAATTTGTACAATGAGTGCAGAGAATCAGTGCAAAAGGACTGGCAATCTGTGTCTTACTACGCCACAACATCTGACCTCTGGTCAAGTCACACATCCGAGCCTTACCTCAACCTTGCAATTAACTTTCATAGACAGAGAATGGAACCTGAGAAGTAAGTGTCAAGGGAACCTTTAGATAATTATCGATATCGATCAATACGCATTTTTTTGTATCGATATAGTATTTTCTATATCGTCCAGCGATACATAAACATTTTTTCATTTTTGAGAACAAATATTTTCCTGAAAAAATAAAGGAGTCGCTGAGTTAATTTATTGAAGTCGGAATGCATTATTGCTGGAAGGACTGCTGCAAAGGTGGATTTAAAAAAAAACAAAAATAAATTACATATTACAGAAAGTTTACATATTTCAAATGTTACTATAGTAATATAGTAATGTGTTTTGACTCATTTATACCCTTATACCTTTACCCTAAACCTAAGTCCCTATTAACAACCTGTACGGAAACCTATATTTTTTTGTTTCTTTCCTTAAGAAAAAAAACAAACAAACATTGCTGATTTTACAAACAACTGTCCATTATTTACATGCAACAAGTGAAAGCAATAACTCTCTCAAGAGTAGTCTAAGAAAAAATTCAGATGAAATGAGCCATTATCATTCCTCAGGAACCTGAAAAGATAACCAACAGCAACAGTTGGGGAAAATATTCCCACTAACTCCAAATGGAGTAACAAGACTTTCTCTGCATGACCTGAGCACTAAACAGGTGGTTAGTAAAGGTTACCATTTGTTAAAAATATAACCTTTGGAAAATTTGTTGACATTCTGAACATTTGTTCAATAGGCTTAAGATGAATGAAGGATTAGTGGGAACCCTGGTTTGAAAGCGAACATCGGTGTTAAAAAAAATTAAGAGTCCAAAGCGAATGAAAAAAATAATGAGAAAAATTAGGTAGAAAAATTAACGGAAACCTGAAAATGCTTGAAGGCGTGTGGAATAAAGAAAAAAAGGAGAAAAAAAATACCCAAAGTAGAGAAAAAGAAAATTCGAAGGCATGCCAGACAAAGGGAGGAGCAGTGGAAAAATACTTGAAAGAAGCAGACGTACCATTAGTCGGATGCTTTGCAAACGACACAGAAAATCGTTTTACTGCCGGCATAGACAACAACTCTGAGGAAATAAAAAAATAATAAAAAAAATTCACTAGAGTTACCATGAACCAAAAAACAACTGACATGCATCATGTTGTGTAACTCCCTGGGCTATCCTAGTGTGCACGGAAAGAAACAACTGACCAACACCTACAGCCATGTGTGACGAAAGGATCAGAACTAGTTCCGGTTTCAGACGAAGGTTTCATTTAAAACATGCGTGATGTTTGAAGATGTTTATTATGGGTGTGAGCTGAGAGATCAATGGAACATCTTCAGATGAAGTGAGATGAAACCATTTTAACTCGTAGAATTAACAACATAAAAGATAAATAGCTATATATACATATATAAAAAATAAAAAAAATCAATAAGTCAATGAGATCGCCCTCCTCTGCTCAAACCATAAAAAGCCTAACAACACCACTCAGGTACTCAGACTATGGTGCTAAAGACTTATAAAAACATCTGTCCAGGATCAAACAGCTAATCTGTGGAAAAATGATGAATGAATCCAAAACTAGGTTTTGGGAACATGCACTAGCGTGTCATATCACAGTGGGGATGCACAGGCTGAGATAGGCTGAATCCTTTCATTTCTGAAAGCGAGGTCTAACAAGATGGATGACAGAGACTCACAGTGAGCTAATGTGAGAGAATCAGGAGGATGGAGGCTGGAGAGACCCAGCATGGTCCCACACTGACACCTACTGGACAACAAACATCTATACCAGCAACACAGTCATAACTGAGCAGGAAGCTAAAGAAGGTCATGTTTTATTTGTTTACCAACATGAATCTTCTTTGACCTTCATATTTCTCTTCTGTCCTGGAGATCCGTGTCATGCACCTTTTAGATAGGCCTCGGCTTTAACACACCTTTGTGAAATAATCAGGTCATTAGCTACACTTTGGAGAAATTGACTGCCTGCTGAAAAGGCATTTGATTCAGGTGTGTGGAAGCAGGGACACTTTTAAAAAGTTGCAGGACACCAGATCTCCAGTACTGGACTAGAGGAACCCTGTTATACAGTATCATAAAAAACCCCAACAACATGTAAGATAAATACATGTTGCGATGGGTTCCAGATATTTTCATAGATCTACCTCTAGAGTATTGGGCTGGGCGGTATGTCAGCTTTAAATCCCCAAAAAAGATCCAGACAAATGCAACTAAGAGGATAAGGAAAAACCTGAAGGTAATTTAGAATGACTGAAGAAAAAGACCACCAGGCCATTTAAAAAGGAGAGCAAGAAAGTTGGGCTTCCAAGGTCTAAAAATCATTACCATACTGCTTTACTTATATTTATTTTAGCACACATTTCATGTTTTTTATACTCAAATGTTTCCGACAATACATTTACATACACACAAACACACACACACACATTTAGTTACATTTATATAAACACATACATATACACATGTATATATATATATATATATATATATACACACACACATATGTATATATATACATATGTACATACATATACACACATGCTTTACCACTTTTTTCTAAATGCTTTAGCACTTTTATGTGAGATGCAAAAGGAGGTACATCTTCCAAAAACGGACCCCTTTTGTATTGTCAGCCCACAGAATATCCTTTAAAAGGGGTTCATTTAGTTATTTTTTCATGAGATGGGCAATTTGACTGATAGACGTCATTGTCCTTGTTTCCAGGGTTTCCTCTACAATTAACTATGACAATCAAATGGGGGGGCACTCCCAAATAGACACTGTGACCTTCAAGAAGATCATGTCGGAAGTAAATCATTATTTGTCTATACAAATTATAAGCCTATAGTACCGAAATTAATGCCGGACCATATCAGAAGCTATTTCTGTCTCATTGTGGTCATTCCTCAACAATTATCTGGCCTGTGTCACTGATTCAGACACTCTGAGTCAAGGCTGGTGAAATCGCTCCAATCAGTAAATGTTAAAGTATGAACAGCAAAGCCCTACTTAAGACTTTAAATAACTAAGAAACCTACACCAGAATCCCCTAGACTGCAGTGGTACTGTACTAGGTCTGAGTCAGTTAGTACCAAAGAGGAAATTTTAATCTCAGAACCAATGGTCCTGCTTTCAGGGCCAACCTAACCAAAATTGGCTCTGACAGCCCAGTAAAATAAGATGCTGCCAATTTCATAAAAATAAATGACAAGGAAGTGTGTTCACTTCATAAGTTATCATTCACAGGTACTAATGCTTTTCAGTAAGATAAGATCAAAATATTTGAGGTGTTGTGTGATCTTATAATAACTGACAGTGTTGGTTATTACAAAAATCTATATTAATCAAAATTGGAATATCAGGCTTTCTAAAGCTCTGGAATCAGTGATCAGCCAGAAACCTGCAGTCGGTGCACCCCTACATGCAATATTGAATAATTCAAACTTAGGTTTTCTGGGTAGTCTTCAAACGCTTGTTTATTTAAAACATTATCCGGACAATAGTTTTCTGTAGATCAGAATTTTAACAATGCAGCTGTAAGTGAACAACAGTCTTCCACATTTTTTACTGACCAACACTGACCTGCAGTAGGCTTGACCTTGGGCCTAATGAACAACAGAGTGTACAGCTTTTATACAAATATGTGGCTGTAGGGAGAAACCGTGAACCTATGACCTGCAGCGCACATTAAGAAAACGCAAGTACATGCTACACCTTTCCTTCATATATCCTATGTTGTGTGGAATCCAGTGCAGCTGCTACATGCCGCCCATTCCATACCTATAGATAATTACCCATAATAGTATTAATACCCAGGAGGCTCCCACCACATGACCAAATAACCACAGCAACAGCGTTCAGTGAGAAAAAAAAAAAAAAAAAAAAAAGATTCAGGGATGTAAGATAAAGTTACTATTAGTGCCAGAAGTGGAGGCAGAACAAAATCCATTTTGGCACGTATTCTGTTAGTATAAGTAACAATTCCTAAAAATTGTGTGGCTTAAGTTAACAAATCTCAGTAAGAATGAAAACATAAATTCATTTTATGCTTCTCAGTGCACAATGCACATTTTCATCTACATTTGAAAAGGAAAAAAAAAGGAAATTATTCTTTTTAATTTAAACTTGATTTGTGTTGTTTCCATTTGAGACATGTTACGATATTTTATAAGGCTAGATGTGGTTCAGTTTAATGACAGGTTTAAACCATGAGTGAAGTCAGGATTCAGTGTATTTTGATGAGCTTTTGAATTTAGATTGTTATGTTCGATCAATAAGGTTTTCGTGGCTGCAGTTAGTCATTGTGGCAGGTCAAAACTTTGTGCGAATATCTGCAGACTGTCACAAAATGTTCATGTTTGTACATCTTGAGTTGTGGTAGAAACATTATGGTGCAAGATGTTAGGTGCAAAACCACGGTTCATACATGAGGCCTCTGAGGTAGTGTTAGGCAACCCTCTGTTTCTGTTCTCAGGATTTGGTCCCTTTATAATGAGAGCCTGCTAATGCTTCAACATAATATCAATCGATAGCTGAGGCATGATACTATCTGCATGTTTTAATGTGACTAACAACTTCTGTCAAAGTTTAACAATTTAAAGTCAATAAAACAGTTTAATACACTTCTTATTGTTTTTGTTGTTAAGAGGTATCTTTATGAACAATGATGTGTTAATGCAATCATCTCAGGTATATTTAGCACCACGGTGATAGTACCGGTATGCCAGCATGTCTTCTTGAACCTAGGGCTATGGGAACAGGAATCGGTACAGAACATGCACACAACACAATACAGTGCAGAGAATCGGATTAAGAACAATATCCCTGATATGGCCAGGGTGTATAACATTAAGTGCTTGAAACACACTAACAAAAAGTTAAGGTCGAAAGTATAGAAAACACTTTACAGAATGTGACGCTCTGCTCTACGGCTTGTGTGCTTTCTGTAAGGACCGAGAAGACATGAGGTGTTTATGGCAATCTGCTGAGGTAACACTGATTATTTACAATTGGAACTATTGCTGAATGGCAGCTCATAGATCAGCTCAATGTTTTGGGTTTTCAGTTTTTATTCTGCATGATTCTCAGAAAAAGCAGCTTTCAGTTTTTAAACTAATCAAATGTTTTGTTCTCTACAACTCTGGAATTTACCAATCAAATATATCTGCCTTGCTATCTACTAATTTAGTGCTGCTAAATGAGCAGAGAGAGAGAGTGATTTACTGTCTGCTTTTCGCGTTCAATTTTGTTACAAATAAATAAAAAAACAATAATCATTTTGCATTTACTTTTTTTTTTGCTGTTAAAGAGAGCCTTCATGGAAATGTGGACCTCAAAATGCAGGTAACTATGAAATATTTGACACTTCTAGGTACAGAAAAATATTACCACCAGGGAATTACGTGATATAGAAATAAAGCAAACAATCAATCAATCATGTACACCAATTCACTGAAACATCTTATAATTAACGCAGTCCATGAAAATCTTAGCTCAGTATAGAGTGACGGAACATGGAGCTGTGAATGTGGGTCCAAAACATGGCCCCACACTCTAAACACTGTATTAATTCATGCACACACCAGTTCCTTATGTAGAGGTCACCTTAACAGCAACAATGTTACACTGCTACAAAGTACCGACATAACCCTAAATTAAATATTATTTAATTGATATGAGGTGAAATTGATATGTTAAAGATCAATGCAGGAAAACTGCATGTTTAACTAACCTAAATAAACCTGAATCATTCCTTATTATTTTATATCCCACAAACCAATTTAGCAGATATTTTTATTCTGATTGATGGACCAATAAACCAGAATTATAGAGCCTGTATCTTGAGTCAGGCTATCCAGTTTCAAAAGTGTATGCACATTATGGTGTGCTTAAACATAACAGAGAAAATAGTGAAACTTTAATTGCTGTATGTTTTAAATCTTATTTAAGGTGGCATATTAAAGTGTCTAAACAAAACAAACATATTCTTTCCAACAGGACAAGCAGGAAATGATGAGCTTCAATGTTCCTGTCATATCGCCCAGCCCTACTATACACATGTTCCAGGTTTAACTTAAAACTTGACAAATTGCAAAATGGAATCAGTGCAAAGACGACGTGGAAATGACATGATTGTGATGAATGAGGATTTATTGATGAAGTTTCATGCATTCCCAGGAAAATAAATAGGCTAAAGCTAAGTTTTAATAAACAATATCAACTGCAGATGTGAAGTATGGATTCTATATTAACGTGCAACTGTAGAGCGTCTAATCTAATTGTAAATCCACTTTTCCAAACAGGCCCACACTTATGATTTTCCAGGTTTCTAGGCTACCTCAATACAATCAGGCCCCTTGAGTGAGTTTTTTGTGTTATAAAAGTCAATGACATGTACTGAAGTCCTAACTTCTCCAGAGGTCTGTGCACAAACCGCAGAAAAGAAAAACTATTTTAAAGTAATGAGGAGGGTAAGATGGTGACAAAAGTGAAACAGAAAAAAAAAGGTTTACCACAAAATCCAAATAAAAAAACTGATGAACATGTATGGCTATGTATTGAAACATGTCCAGATGAATTTAAATAACACTTCGCTCTACAACTTAAGAACCTAGATTTTACTTTAAATTTCCCGTCTAAAATTATTGTGTGCGATATTTTCCGATTTGGGACCTGGAGGAGGTGTTTAACTGATCTACTGCTGGCCTGTGCTGGTTTGTGAAGGAGCGCGGCGGTCTCAGACACGTACCATCTTTGTAGGACAGACTGCCGGTGGAGAATTTTTTGCGGTGTGCACGTGCGTAGTCCTGCAGGTTAGGTGCACTAGAGGAGCCACCTAGGACGGTGGTGCTGAAGAGTCCGGCACACTGAGAGCCTGCGAGGGGTTGCGGGAGGAGGGAGTGGGGGGTGTTGGTTAGTCACCGCAATAAAACATGCCCCTATTCATACAGCTTACAAACAAGAGGGGCAGAAAAACAGAGAAAGAAGACAAAGGCAGAAAGAGACAAGCAGAAGTAAAGACTCAGAGGTGACCAATTTAACCATTTACCTTGTTTCCTTACAACAAGGTTGGAAATGTGGTTTAACACCCCCAGAGGTAGGGACAGAGTTTGAAGATTAATTTGATTTTTCAAATGAAGTAAATACAACATTATATAACATACTGCACTGTTTAATTATTAACTCAAACAATAAGGAAAGCCAGAAACTGTTAGTGAAACAGAGGAAGCTCCTTCCAGCCACTTTTAGAGACACCTTCAGCAGTAGGACCTCTCAGTGTTTGTTTTCACCTCATCTCTCATGGAGAAACGTTGGTCAGCTCTTCTTTTATAGCTTTGCTTATTGTGTTTTCAATGTATATTGCACAGATACCTGACAGGATTTTCAGAGACAGAGGTCTGAACTTTGACAGGAGAATTTTCATCAGTTCTGTAGTTGATTGGCTTGTGTGGGGTGTTTTGTCCTGTGACCTAATTCATACTAAACTAGAAAACAAACATAAATATATATATATATATATATATATATATATATATATATATATATATATATATATATATATATATATATATATATATATA